TGTAGTACTCATAATGATGTACAATTTCAGAACATTTTAATTACTCCCCCAAAAAACCCTCGTACCTACTAGCAATCATGAAGTTGACTGGCAGCCTTTAAATTACTTCCTGTCTCTATAGGTTTGCCTGCTCTGGGCATTTTATATACATGGAATCATGCAATATGGAACCTTTTGTGTTTGGCTTCCTTCACTAAGCATAATAGCAATGCTCACCCATGTTGCAGCCTGAATCAGTAGTTCATATCTTTTTCTAGCTGGATGATATTGCATTGCATTATTTACCTATTTGTAAGTTGATGAACCTTTGAGTTGTTTCCCATTGGCTATAATGACATGCTGCATACGAACATTGGTATCCAAGTTTTTATGTGGGTATATGGTTTTGTATCTCTCTCAAAAAGCCATTCTCTAACAAATCAAGTCAGCTGTGTTCATGTCAGTAGAATTTCTTAAAATTTCACTTGGAGAATGTAATTCATAATCTTGAGTCAATCGATTAATTAGGAGACGCTGAATAACGGTTAATTCTCCAATATGTCCTGTAGACGTATTTTGTGCATCTGTCTTCTGGATATGAGCATTTATTTCACGAAGTTGGCAGCAGTCTGTAGAGATCGGTTGTCCTCACAGAGAGGGTTCTGAAGTCCTCGGCCCTGCTTCAGAGGACAGCCAGGAAGTGTGCCGGAGAGGAGTTCTCACTCTCGGAAACTTTTAGCATTCAATAAAGGACTATTTTTAATATATGATTTCTTTAAGATGTTGATACTCTTTTCAAGTTTGGATTTTCCTTCTTGACAAGCTACTCAAATTGCCAACCTGCTTGACTGTCCATTGAAGCTTAAGTGTTTAGTATTAAGAAATAATTCATACCGAAGTTAAGAAATGTATTTTGTGTGCAAAGGATGACTGTTATTAGTTTTTTACCAATTTTTCAAAAAGCTAAATGAAAGTTGCCTTCCCGTGTACTTATATGTAAATAAACGTGTGTGCTGCCCATATTTGGAGGACCATTGCCATGAACGTCTGCAGAAAGCAAAGACATTACCCTTCAACGTGACGTGGGCCTGTTCTGCATTTGGAGATCTCAAAACTTGAGTTTTAATGTTGATTATCTAGCTGGCTAACTTAGGGCAAATCATTTAACATTTCTGTACCACAGTTGTATTTTTAAAATAAGAAGTTAGATGAGATAATCTCCAGAGCCTCTTCCAGTTATAGCACTGAGTAACACTGCTATATTTAGGATGTGAAAATCATCGACTAATGATTCTAATGGTGAGACAGATGCTTTACCCTGTGATATACTGAAAGGAATTCTATACTGAGATCAGGAGTCACAAATTCTAGTCACAGTTTTGACACTGAGAATTTGTGAGATTTGGATATTTCATTTCAAGCCCTAATTTCCCCAACTACAAAATGTGGATACTATATTAGATAGGCTTATATTCCCTTCCAGCTATAAAACAGTATAAAAAACAAAAAACACTCTATGGCTCTACATCCTTTAGAATTAGAACTTATTTGATCTTTTATAATTAGGATTAAAGAACATACTCATCATTGATAAAGGCACTCATTTGTTCACCCATTCATTTATTCACCAAAGTGTACCAACGTATAAAACAGGCGCAGGAATCTGCTTTTAGATGGCCCCTATTCCCAGAGAAGGCATCGTATATTTGCATTCGTGAAATCCATCCCCACCCTAATCCATGCCTTGTCCTTTGTCTTGGGACATATATTTTATAGGTAAATGTCTTAGATTAAGAAGTACAGTGAGCACAGCATGGGAGAGTTAATAGGATGATAAAGGGGTCAAACCTGAAACTTTGGGGTCACTGGCATAGTGTTTAGTTAACTGAGTACAGATAATCTGTAACCTTATCTGTCATTATATATGTCACTATAATAGTGTCCAACAATAACTTCTTTTTAGCACTTCCTTAGAAGTATATGCTCATAGCTCAGGCTTCCACTCAATCTGTGCACACACACATGCACACACACACAAAGTCACACTCTTGGGGATCAAAGTGCTGAGCTGAGGTCCTCAGCGTCTTGGTGAGGTGGCTTGGGTTGTGGGTATGGCTAGTGAACCAAGGACTGGTTCACTCTAGAGGCAGGGATTTTGGGGTTCCTGACCCTCGAGTCTGTTGCAGGTACAAGCCTGCACCGAGTGAGTGTACTTGGCTTTGGATGATGCCTTGGCTTGATCTTTAGCGTGCGTGGCCTCATGTTTGATCAAGCTGGATTCCCCAGCTTCACCAATCTGAGATGCTCAGAGGATTCCAAGCTGAGGATGAATAGATTCATGCTGTCCATCTCTGCCCTGATGATGTCCTAGCTACAGACCCCTCCACCTATGATGCTCCTTTGGTGATGCTAGATTAGAGGGATTCTATTCTGGACCTCATCTATCCATTTTCTTCCAGGCCTGGCCTTTAGCTTCTTGGCTGACCCCTTAGCTATTGTCTTGGGCTTCTTTTGTGGGAGGATCTTAGGGAATGGAGACTGGATAAATGGAGAGAACTCAGGCCCTTCTTCAGAACCCCCCTCTGCTAGGGTGCAAGGGGACCATGCTAGGCCTATACCTGTACGCCTCTCCCCACCATTCCTGCTGCTGATGGAAATGCCAACCATCTTTCGTTCCACTTTAAAAAAATAATTTTATTGGGGGCTTGTACAACTCATCATAGTCCATACATACATTGATTGTGTCAAGCACATTTGTACATTTGTTGCCATCATCATTCTCAAAACATTTGCTTTCTACTTGAGCCCTTGGTATCAGCTCCTCATTTTCCCCTCCCTCCCCACCGTCCTCCCTCATGAACCCTTGATAATTTGTAAGTTATTATTTTGTCATGTCTTACACTGTCTGACATCTCCTTTTACCCACTTTTCTGTTGTTTGTCCCCCAGGGAGGGGGTTATATGCAGATCCTTGTAATCGGTTCTCCCACATTTCCACTTCTTTTCCTAATCGTTTTATTGGCATATGCTTCATTATCATACAATTTAATCATTTAAATCATACAAGAAGAGTTCTGCAGTTATGACCATAATTAGTTTCAGAACATTTTCTTCTTGTAGCCATGGTTATTAGCTTCCCATTCCCGCCATCCTCCTCTGCCATACCCCTAGGTAATGATTAATCCAGTTACTGTCTCTAGGTTCCCACTTCTTGGACTTATTAGAAAATAGTGGTTTGAGAAACCCTGAGGATTAGTCTTAATAGTTGACTTCATTATTTTATGTCTGCTGCTAGCCTATACTTCATCTATACCAACCGCATATACCCAAACACCTTTGCAGCCGCGAGATGAAACCTAAGAGTTAAGTGAAACCATAATCATGTGGTTGTGCTTTGGGGCAGGTGTTCACATCTGAATATTTCAGGAACTGAAGTATATTTTAGGAACTGAAATACCTTATTTTCCACTACTTGTAGGAAACCACATGTTTGTAATACAAGATACTCTATCTAAATTTTCATATTTGAAATTAATGCAATCTTCCCAGAGAATTAGTATTTTCACATGTAGATCAAGCAAGATACATTTTCAGTTTTGACCTTGGAGATAAAACAACAAAACTGAAAAAATGTGTGAGGCTAAGTTTACATAAATAATTGAAGCTCATATTTATATTTAATCCTCACGATAACCCAGTCAAGGATTTTCAGTAGATTGAGTGGAAAGTGGATAGGTTTTAAGAGAAGACAAAGAATATTCTTAGTATGATAGGTTTAGAGGGTCAGCAAATGACTAGTCCCTATGAGATGGAGGATTTAAAAAAAAGCCCAGATATCCAACTTTTCCAAAATGGACTTCCACAGCATCATTTCTAACATCAACTCCTCCTCCTCTAAGTACTTCATTTTTAATCAATTCATATGGTTCTAGCTATAATTCCTTATGTGATATAATTCTGGACTCTAGGCCTGTGGCTTCCATCCCATTTTGGAGGGAGTTCTCCGCTATACTAAATACTAAGGGAAGGATTAAGGTGGGATTAAGTCCTGACTTTAATCAAGGTGTGAACCAAGTCACACTTGTTTCTTTGTTCCACTAACAGACAAAAAACACACCTCTATCAAAACCACTCCTCCCTGTGTTAGAGCCATCTCATACACGGAGAAAAATCCCAAGTCCGTTGGAAGAACAGCCACCACTGTAGCACGTTCTAGATCTCTGTCTGAAGTCAGGGAGACTGGGAGGCTGCCTGGACACTATGCGACAGAGCAAAGCAGCGAGGTGGAGAGCAGAGTGGGAGGCACAGATATCATGAGCAGAACAGAGGCGCAGCACCAAGACTGCATCTGGGAGGCAGAGAGACGGGCAAGCTCCCTGGTACACGGAGGCAGCGGCCAAGGGACCCCATGGCTGAGAGGCTGAGCAGTGGAGAGGCAGACGTGGCTGCTGGCTGAGGAGAGGTGTTGCTCTGACTCAATGACTGTATCCTTATTGTTGCCTGACCCTGACTTGTTAACTTGTTAACTCCCCTAATAAGCCCCCTAAATCCTGAACAAAGAAATAAGCAAGTAAAAATATATATGGAGTAAAAAACATAACCACAAAATCACATCAAAACACCTAAAAATAAAAATGTAATATCCCCATGTATAGATTCTGTATACATTTTGAATGTAGAACCTATAGGTCTTATTCATAGTTTGGATATAGAAAAAGGAGGCATGGGCGATGTATTAGTCTGGGTACTTTAGAGAAACAAATCCACAGAAACTCATGTATAAGAGAGAGCTGTATATAAAGGTTAAGTGCATATCAAGAAAATATCCCAACCCAGTGTTGCCCAAGCCCACAAGTCCAACATTAACCCATATGTCCAACACCAATCCACAAAGCCCTCCTCCATCTCACAAAAACACATGCGACTGCAGGAGGAAAGCCGAGTCAGTGAACATGTAAGCATCTCAGCGCTGGCAGGGGTCTTCATGCGGCTGCTCCAGCACTCAGGGCTGCATCGGGGTAGGTCCATGTGGCTTCTCCTCAGGGATGTCTTGCAGGAAGTGAACCTTGCCAGCTGAAGCAAGAACTGGCTAAGGTAGTTGTACCCTTGTCCAACCATCAGGAAGCAAGAACCCCGAGAACTCTAAAGGTGAGGTTCAAAAAAAAAGGTGAGGTTCACCAAGTCACTTATCTTGCTGCCCTTCAATTAACCCCACATGTGTTTATTGGCCAGGTTGGCACAGCAAATTAACTTACTCAGGCGACTAGGAGGTTTTCAGCTTAAGCAACTGGTGGTGGGTGGCATTGCCATTTCCTCTCCTGGAGCACACTGCGGGATGAGCAGATTTGTTGGAGAGGAGTGATCGGGAATGGGGTTTGGGATTCATTGTAAGATGTAAGGCGCTCTGGTGGTGTAGCGGGTTATGCATTGGATTGCTAACACACAGGTTAGCTGTTCAAACCTACAAGTCTGTGTGAGGGAGAAAGATGAGACTTTCTGCTCCTATAAAGATCCCCAAACTCAGAAACCTAAAAGGCCAGTTCTACCCTGCCCCATGGAGTCACGGGGTTGGAATAGGCTTGATGGTAGATGGTTTTTAATTTGTACAATAAGGAGGGCTAGTGGTGCTGTTGGGTAAGTGTGAGGATGTTCTAACCCACCAGCTTCTCAGCGTGAGAAAGATGAGGCTATCTTCTCCCAGAAAGGTTTGCAGGCCTCTGAAACCCTGTGCAGGGTAGGTAGGAGTCAAAATTGACTGATAGCAGTGGGTTTGGGATTTGGTATTGGACAGTGAAGGGAGCAATGGTGGCATGGTGGCTAAAGCACTCAGCTACTAACCAAAAGATTGATGGCTTGCACCCACCTGATATTCCGCAGGAGAGAGATGTGGCTGTTTGCTTCTGTACAGATTTGCAGCCTTGGAAAACCTGCAGGGAAACTTTACTTTGTCTGGGTCTCTGTGAATCAATTGATTTGGTATAGAATATCCAAAAAGAGATATTGATTTGGTTGTTAGATATATGAAGGGGCTTCAAAAATTTTGTGGAAAAATGGAAATTAAATAATAATGGATTTTTTAATGAATGTTTTGAAGACCCCTTGTATATACCTGAAATTTGAGGAGAGATCAAAACTGGGGGTAGACATCTAGAAGTTTATAGCATACAGATCAGTGGTATTGATAATTATATAGTTTTTTGGTGGGTGGGTGGGGGACATCTCTAGAGAATTGAGCCCACTGGGGAGATATGTGAACTGTGGGGCACTACAACCTTTAATGTGGGATAAGAAAGAATCAAGAAGGGAATCAGGAGCTATAACCTATGAAATAGAGAACTAAGAAAGTGAGAAACCCATAGTGGGGCCGGCCCTATGGTCCTCTCTGTGCATTGGCTGCTCTGAGCGGAAATATCGTCCTCAAGGCTTGGTGGGCCAGGGTGTGCTCCACTCTCTCTTCCTCCCCCTTCATTTGTTCCCATGTGCTCTGATCAGACATATCCCTCTCCCTGAGCTGTAGCTTCAGTGCTGTCCTCTGAAGTAAATTTTTCTAGGGGTAGGGGTGGCTGTCCACGTTAATTGGGATTGGGGCTGGCCCCTCAGGCCTCTCTACTGGTTCCCTGCTTCATGCTGGTATGTTGCATTCACATCTTGGAGCACTGGGTTGAAGTCTGGTTCCTCTTTCCTGTAGAGATACAAACAATACCCTCCCTTGGGTGGGTTAGTGCCCTGTTCTCCAGCTACCCATTTATATTTATTTATTTGCTTATTCTTTCCTCTCCTTTTTGGTTGGCTACTATATGTACCCCTGGATTTGGTCTGGCCCCTACCATACTACTTGGACCTCACCCCAGGAATGTTTGTATACAGCAGCTTTCTCCTTATGCCTCTTTTGCATTTTTTTAAAAACTTACCTCAGCAGACTCATGTTGTACTTGTCCTTTTGTGCTTGGCTTACTTCACTTAGCATAATTTCCTCCAGTTCTTCCCATGCGGCAATATGCTTCATGCATTCATCACTGCTTTTTAGCGATGCGTAGTACTCCATTGTGTGTATATACTACAGTTTTTTAATCCATTCGTCTGTTGATGGAAATTTGGGTTGTTTCCAACTCCTTGCAATTGTGAACTCCTCTGTCTTGTTTTTTATGTGCATATTATTATCTCTGCAGGTCTACCTAGATAAGATAGAGTGGATAAACAATCTGAAGGAGAAAGCAATGGGGCCAATGGTTCTGGGGGCACGTGGGAGAGGGGGAGGTCGGGGGAAAGGAAGTGGTGCTAACCAACCCAGGGACAAGGGAACAAGTGATCCAAAATTGATGGTGAGGAGGGTATAAGAGGACTAGTAGGGATTGATCAAGGGCAATGTAACCAAGAGGAATTACTGAAACCCACTGAGCATAAAAGTGGGACAAGAGTAAAGTAAAAGGAAATAGAGGAAAGAACTAGGATGCAAAGGGCATTTATAG